TTTGAATGCAATTAAATGAAACATCCTACTATATATAAAAAATAGTGTCTTTGTGTGTGCCACTTTGCATCCACTTCCGTAGCGTTGTTCCAGGCGTAAGTCTATAGGGGAAGAAGCTAGGGGTGGGTACGATACGTCATTATGTGCGTAATGGTCTAGGGATGATTGCCCACATATCCTACTATCCTACTATATATAAAAAAATAGTGTCTGTGTGTGTGTGTGGTGTGTGTGTATGACACTTTGCATGCAACTGCGTCAGCGTGTCGGAGGATATCTCAAGAGGGAAGGGATAAAGGGTCGTATGATACGTCATTAGACGCGTAATGGTCTATAGATGACTGCACGCATATCATATTTTTCAAAATCGATTGTTTTCGACCTTAAAATTAAGTTTTTCTGAAAAAATCGGTCACCCTCTTTGTTAGGAAAAAAAATAGCATACGCCGGAAGTTGCGGTAGCCTATATAATGGGAAGAAGGGAGCGTTTTTCATTATTTTTAATCGCAGTTCGGGTGTATTATGCAAAGTGAAAAATTTCATGAACTCAGACGGCTTTTCAACCCTGGTCACAATTTTAAAAAGTAGCCATTTTCGATATTAAATTTAAGTTTTTGTAAAACCCTCTTCGCTAGGAAAAATGAGCATTGACCGGAAATAGGAAGTCGCCTATATGAAGGGTCGCAAGCGAGTCATTTTCATTTTTTTTGGTCATCCGAATTCAGCGCAGTGTATGCAGAGCGTAGAGACAGCATGCGGCCCAAGGCGGGGCCAGGGTTGTTTTTAAAAATACAAAATATTGGGTTTTCGATAGTCCAGCAGTTCAAAAGCATCTACTTTTTAGAAGGGTTTCCACTCGGTTTTCAGGGCCGCCGCCGCCGTCGTCACGCCAGCCGTCACCGCAGCCGCCGCCCAAACAGTCGCAAATAAATTTATGGATTAACGTGTTTTTTGTCTTGCACAATTTATCACCAGTCCTCCCGAGGCCGGTAGCCACTGCTTTTCAGTTCGAGATGAGCTCTTGCTCCCGGTACAGCGCGCCGCGGACATCTATTACTTTGATTTCGAAACACCACAAAACTCTTCTGACAACAATTAACGGTACAAGTGAATAGTGTTAGAGATTTCTTTCTTTTTCGTTGAGCATGAGCAGCAGGTGGTGAGGATGGTCGTGTTCCGGCGTCGGCTCATTGTTGTTGGTGGTCTCGTCGAGGGCCTTGTAGTACTCGACCGTGTATTTGGCCAGCGACGGCTCAAAAGCTCGCCACATACTTGCCGAGGCGCGCATAATAGTAGTTGAGAGAGGACTCCGTGGATGTAGTAGTACTGGGCTGGCGTCTGCAATCGGATCACCACCAAAATCGATTTAATTCTTAGTAAAAACGTGGGTTTTTAGTATTTTTAATTTAGCCAGGTTAGCCAGGGTCCTTTCAGTTGACGACAGCTGTTGCTCACCTGGACGAGGGAGGCACGCTCCGCGGCACTCTTTGAGCAGGTCCTCGATATCGAACTTCTCGCCGGCGCTGATCTTCTCGGACGATAGCCTGCGCAGGCATGACGATCGAGCCGGTGCGGCCGATGCCCGCCGAGCAGTGGACGACGATTGGGGTGCTGAACGGGTTGGATTAAGGTAGTTTATGACAAAAAACGGACGAGCTTTGGCTGACTTTGGCGAGCAGTTCCATCGGGGAATGGTCGGGCGGAGGGCGCCACGATCCGGCCAATGGTTCCACTGAAAAATTGGAATTTCTCTCACTCACAGTCTCGATGTCTCTCTCTCTCACACTAGAAAATCTTACGTGGTAATGCCGGACGGTGAGTGGCTCCTCGAGCCCGAGGCCGTTGACCTTGAGCGTGCGCACGCGAATCTTCGCCTTCGTCTCCTTGCGGAACTTGAACTGAAATTGGGGGGCGGTGAACGACTAGAAGTCGACGTGGCCCACATCGGCGTCCTGCTCGCAGCGCACGGTGATTGGGCCCTGGTCGGCGGTTTGGAAGGTCATCTCCTGGCCGGCCTCATCCGGGCAGTACTTGGTGCACTTGGGCTTGTTCTGCTCGACCAACTCGCACAACATGAGGATCGACTGAAGCTCGTTGAATTAGGGGGTGGGGGTTGCGTGGTACGGGACGGGTAGCGGGGAGGGGGAGGTATTCTTGTGCGCCACTTTAGTACATTATAGAGCATTTTTATTGCATTTCAAGTACCTTAAAAATTTTCTAAAATTGTATGATTTCCCAACAATCAAAAACGACGAAAAGGCTATATAAATTCAGTAGTCCGATAATGCCAAGGTACCAACTGGCGCATACCTCGACCTTGTGCTGGATGACCATCATCCAAAAGTCGGCGCAAGTGGTCGACATGGGCCCCTGGGCGCAGATGAAGCGCTTCGGGCTCTTCAGGGTGCCCACGTAGTTGGCGTGGATGTACTCGTCGGCGTTGGCCCCGGGCACGTGCACACGGTTGTGATCGTGGCAGCCGACATCCTGAAGGAGTTCAGACGCTTGGACGTTTTCATGTCTGCTGATACCCCCGACCGGTTACCAACCCAGGTATCTCGGCCCATTGTTCGTCTGCCGGTGAGGAAAGTATACCAAAACGTGCGTCTTGCTCTGGTGACTATTTTGGTATACTTCACAGGGCCATAGGTCAGCAGGGAGACCAGCTACGGTAGGGTATCTGTTGTTACCTTGTATCGGTTCAGCTTCTGGTTGCGGCTGAACACGGTGCACTTGGCCATGTCGTAGCGGCGCGGGTTTCGTTGGAATTCGGCGCCGAGCGCCTGAAAAATTGGATGGGGTCCGCAAAAACGGTGCTGGACTTTAGCGGGGGTGGGGACGGAAAATTCGAAAAATGAAACACACCTTGATGCCCTTGGACAGCGTCTTTCCCATGAAATCGGCGGCGGCGGCCTGTTGATCCTTGTTCAGCCTGCCCTCACGGGATCCCTGGGTCTTCGACTTTTTGCTGGAGTTGTACAGCCGCGTTTCGCCGCCGCTGCCTTTTCTGCAACCATAAATGTAGCCCGTTGCTCTGTTAGCGGGGGGATAATAGCAGCTATTTTTTATATTTCCGCTTATTGTTAATTAGCTGTTAATCCGATGATATAACCTGTATTTTTCTGTTCCATTTAGTGGTTTTTATTGCTAAAACACTAAAAATAAGTCATAAAACCGTTTAAAAGTGGCAAATCTTTTTCTAGACATTTTATTGTAATTTTTGTATGTAAAAACGGTATAAAATGAAGTTTATTTAATGAATGAAAAAAGCATAAATAAGCAGTCACTGACTTTCCGCCCATCTGACGCACGTGGAGGGCTAAGGCGGCGTGAGCGCTGGCGAGACGTCGAACGCGAAGTCGTTTTCTTTGGCGGCCAATCTTCGCCGCTTTTTATACCAGAAAATTAGGATGCTAATCACAAGATATTCCGGTGAGGCAAATATATATCTATATAATTATATATTATATATCTATACTGTCATTCAAAATCTAGGTGTACTTTCGCATTATCGGGGGTGGGGGCACCTTTTTCTAAACACTCATTTTTTGTAATAGCGGCAACTGTTTCTAACCTGTTTTTACCATTTTTAAGCGCAAAAAAAATTACAGAAATCCTACTATATATAAAAAAATAGTTCCTGTGTGTGTGTGTGCATTTGCATGCAACTTCCGTCAGCGTGTTCCAGTAGTATCTCAAGAGGGGAAGTACTTAGTGGTATGTTCGATACGTCATTAGGTGCGTAATGGGCTGGAGATGACTGCACACATATCAGATCTTACAAAATATTATGTTTTCGACATTAAAATTAAGTTTTTCATGGAAAATCGGACACCCCAATTTGTTAGGAAAAAATTAGCATGCACCGGAAGTCGCGGTAGCCTATTTAAAGGGACGGCAAGGGCATTTTTCATTTTCGTCATCCGAATCCGGGAAGATTATGCAAAGTCAAGAATATCATTGGAGAAGACGGGGCCGCGAAGCGGTTTTTCAACCCTGGTTTAGTAGAAAAACCAAAATATCGCTTTTTCGAACACAAATCCCGATTTTAGAACAAAATTCAGAATTTTGATATAGTTTTCAACGTAAAAGATAGTTAAATGGATTAAAACGGTTAATATTATGCCCAAAATAATTTATACAAAGAACCAGGGTTGAAAAACCGCTTCGCGTCTTTTCAACCCTGGCCCCGTCTAGGCCTTGTGAAAATCCTCTATTTGCATGCTTCTTCCCGAATTCCAGCATAAAAAAGTGAAGAGTGTGGCCTTTCTTCCTTTTATGAGCCGCCTCCACTTCCGGTGTATGGTAATTGCTTCCTAACAAAGAGGAAAGCCCAGAATTTTAAAAAAACCTAATTTTAATGTCGAAAACACCGTATTTTACAAAATCTGATAAGTGTGCAGTCGTTCCCAGTCCATTACGCACCGAATGACGTATCAAACATCCCCTAGCTTCCATCCTTCTTGAGCTACGACTGGAACAACCTGACGGAAGTTGCATGCAAATGCACACACACACACACACACAGGAACTATTTTTTATATATAGTAGGATAGGATTCCCCCCGATAATCGAGAAGTACCTGATTTTATAATTTTATAGAAAATCCCAAGACATGAAACTCAAATAGCAGCACATAAATTGATATAATTTATTGGGTACGTTAAACGACAAATGACGTTGCGATTTTGCGATAATGATCCGAGTTTAATTTTTTAATTTTGAAGGTGGGCGGGTGGTGGTTGACGGGTTGGCGGTCAGATGGCCCTGGTGCACACGGCTCGCACCTTGTCCATGCCGTCCCGAGTATCGTGCTCATCAACGGATCCCTTTCTCTGAATGGAATCATTTATGATGCTTTGGCATTATCGGGGGGAGAAAACGATTTTTATACAGCTCAAAAATACCGAATAGTCGTAATCTACAGACTATAGACTATCTATAGACTTTTAGTAAAATTGCCCCCTATTTAAAGCGGAAAAACAATCTAAAAAACCTAGATAACGTCTTAAAAAATTCAAAATTTGGTCGTAAATCGGCCATTTGTCGTCGAGAAATCGATATTTTTGCATTCATTTAATAAAAATTTGCATGGCTTTTGCGTTTAAAAATAGTAAAAACAGCCTAGAAACACTCCTATTTTTATTAGAAAAAAATGGACCCGTTGAAAAATGTCCCCTGATAACGCAAAAGCTCCCAGAATTAGCCTCTCCCACGCGATTTTCGAAGCGCTCCCTACCGTGATATACTCCAGGCAGCACAGGTAGACGAGCATGAGCTGGCGCTCGTTTTGCACGGCCATGGCCCGCTGATCACGCAGTTGGCGCAGTAGATCGAACATCTGCACGATGGTACTGTTCTGTTTCCGGGGGGGGGGGAGGGGGTTGAGGTTGGGTTTTGCTATAACTGCTTGGTACTTTTGCATTATCGGGGGATGCCTAGTGTGCTCCAGAAATGACTTGTACCATAAAAATAAATGTTTAAATAAAGTTTTTAGTAAAAATCGGTTATATTTGAAGTCGAAAACTATTCAAAAATGTTGTAATTTTCGTCGATAATTCATATTTTTGGTCGAAAAATCGATATTTTTGTAATGTTTAATAAACGTTTGTAAATTTTTACGTTTGGGTATAGCAAAAAAACAGTGTAGACAGACTTCCATTCTTTAAATTAGAAAAATAAGATTCTATTGAAAAATTGCCACCCCCGATAATGCAAAAGCAATCAAACCGGGGAAAATAGAACAGTACCTGCACGTTCTCGCCGGCGTACAGCCGGTTGAGGGTCCATAGGGTGAGAATCATGGTACGGTGCGGCCGATGCCAGCCAGGCAATGCATCACAGTCAGCCCCGGGTTCAGCACGTCCGGGTCGCCGATGACGCGCAGCAACCGAAGGATCTCTATAGCTGCTGGGCACAGCTTTTTCCGGCCAATCCGGATACTGGACAATCCTGCAAAAAATGCCCGGTTTCACTCGTAGTTTAGCGGACCGGGTTCTGTCGCGTTATCGGCGGGGGGTAAAATTCAGCGTTTTCGATAGTTTTTCCACTTAAAATAACGTTAAATTTACTAAAACCACTATGCTTACTAATACCTCACTAGACATTTCTGAACTTCCACAAAAAAAAACAGATTTTCCTCGATCCCCCGATAATGCAAAAGCACCGCTGACCGAACAGTTCGACTCTTCTTCGCCGCCTCTGGTCGCAGTTCGATCGTCAGCGTGTTGAAGCCGCAGTTCATCTCCATCTTTTTGTTCTCGACCCGCCAGCGGCCGATTTTGAGGTGTTGATCCGGGTTCTCCGGCCAGTAGGGGGCGCACTAAGGGAATCGGGTTCATGAAGAAGTGCAGCGCTAATACCTTGGTTGGTTGCCCTCACCGGGCTTGCAAATCTGCACAATGTTGACGACCTCGTGCTCCCAGCACATACGCCAAAAGTCGCCCATCGTGTTCTCGAGCGGCGCCTGTGTGGCAATGATCGTCGGGCCTTCCGGGAGCTAGAAAATAGTATGAAAACCTGGGTGGGGGTGAGTTTAGCCCCTCCTCCCCGATAATGGAAAAGGACCGGTAAAACTAGTATAAAAGGCAAAATACCTCGCACCAATTCGCATGGATATAATCGCCCTCATCCTTCGTCTCGGGCGTCAACTTGACACGCGTCGCGTCGAGACACGGGATGTCCGGCCACCGATTCTTCGCCGGGTTCGCGTCAAAGGCGGTCTGCGCCGGGTTCTTCGGCACGTAGCGCGTCACCTCATCCCAACCGACGCGTGCCTCATAAAATTCTAAAGTGAGGGTGGGGCTCGATTTGAAGTGACACTGCAGATACCTCCTCCCAGTCGACCTCAAACCCTTTTATCCCGACTGCCTGTTGGTTTACATGTGTGAAAATCGTACTAAAATACTCGCAAAAACAAGGCGAACATTTTGGTATACTTTACACACCTGTAGACGAATAGGGAGCCGCAATACAAAGGTTGCAGGCTGCACACCCCTGCAGATCCCCCCACGGCCCCGACCTCAAGCCGTTGTATCTCGGCTCCCTGTTGGTCTACAGCAGTCTAAAGTATACCAAAATGTTCGTCTTGCTCTGGTGAGTATTTTGGTATACTTTACAGTCATGTAGGGCAGCGGAGAGCTGAGATACGGTTGGCGAGGGACGGCCGATCCATAGTTTAGCCGGCCAAACTCACTGCTGCGGACTGACGCCGCGAAGCTGCGGGCGGCTGATTTTACGTTTGCCGATCCAGCCCCATTCACGATAAGCGTGGGACGCACAAGCTCTGTAAAAATGTTAAAAGTCATGTCAGTCAGTCCGATTTTTCGCAAAAAAATTGCGGATTTTCAACCAAATTTTGAATTTTTCACCGTTTTCTAACGTTTTAGATAGTTTTTTTACCGATAAATTGTTACATTTTACTCAAAATACTATGAAAATTAGGACTTAATTTCTAAACTTGTAGAAACCTGCAAAAAACAGGGTCGTTAAAAACTCGCTTTTCCTGTTAGCGCCCGGCGCGGGAGTCGGGGCGGTGTCTTTGGACGCCGGAGCAGGGGACCGACTTTCCGGTTTTGACATACGAATCAAGAATATTCGCAAGATTGTTAAAATAGCCCGTAAATATTCAAATCGGGAAAAATTCAAAGATTTTTTGTAAATTATCACTCGTGATTCCTGGGAACTTATGCATTATCGAGGGTGGGGGCTTTTTCATTAGGGTAAAATTTTTGTAAAATAGATCGAGACCTTTCAGACATTTTTTATTCTTCCTAAGCGTAAAATATGTATAAATTTTAGCAAAAATACGCGAGAATAGATTTTTCATTCAAAATTTCGAACTTCGAATTTTTCGGTGTTTTTGCTGCCTAAAAATCGTTAATTTTCCCTAGTTATCACTATTACTGTAGAATGCTGTTATTCTAGACGTATACAAAAGCATTTTTAAACGTATGCCAGAAAAAATCGGTTAAAAATACAAAAGTATCGAAATTTGCGACCAAAATTTTGAATCTACATCAGATTTTGAATTTTTCTATACAGTTTCCCCGTATAAATATGGTTAAATTTTTGTAAAAATGCTCTTAAAATACTTATTATTGGAGTGGGGTATGCAAAATCCGGCCCACCCCCCGATGATGCCAAAGTACCTAGCTTCCAGCATTTTTAACACCTGCCATTTTGTGTCGTCTACATTTTGGCACTTCTCAAGGTTCTCCTGGCAGCCATGAACATCTCTTGACCGGCAGAAGAAGAAGAAAAATGAAGGAGAGATAGAGCGAAAAGGGCGAAAAGTGGGCCCTCAAAGTAGCGCGAACTGATGACCAAGGGGGGGGGGGAGGGGGAGGGCAATCTATTTGCCCCTGGATCCCCAGATACAGGGGGGCAGAGATCTTCCGGGGATGGCACCTGGCTAGTTGCTATCTTCTAGCCAATCCCGGCACTTTGTCAAAATGCTTGGTGTAGTGTTAATTCTAGTTTATTGCCTAAATTTCTGCCAAACTGCTGCCATCAACAGCTCGATTATTTTGTCGTCGGAGGGCGGTTTCCCGGGGCCGTTGATTCAGAAGAATGCCAACACCACAATGTGTAAGTATTTTTCAGTTGAAAAACCAAATTTTCTTTCTAGTAATAATCGGCACAACAAGCGGCACGAGGATCCCCGAACAAATGCTCGTGTTTCCGGGCGCCGCCTATGGCAACGAGGGTCCCGGCGCGTTGAGCCAGGTAAGTTAGAGACGGCTCTTTACTGTCACGTTCCAAGGGAAAGTAACGGGTCAAATATATTGTGTAGCGATAAATGGAAATAGCGCAACATACAAGCACGAAGAGTACGGTACCTCGGCATCTGTTGCATTAACGGGGGGGGGGAGGGGCTTTTCGAACTTATGCCATGGCACTGCCTAATAGAAATCGAGTATAAGCTTTTTTTTTGCTATTCTCAAGGGTGCCCCTTTATAAAGTGTTATAGAGTTTAATAAATAGGTGAAGTTTCCGACCAAAATCTGAAATTTTGAAAAGTTTTTCTAACAAGGGAAGTGCACGAACTTAAGGTGGCCTTTCTTTTTCAAAATAAGTGGGTCTGATAGAGTCGAACACGGGGATTCCGAATCTGTAATCAGAATCTGCTAAATGTAACGGAGAAAAAAGTTATGAGACTTCAAAGTTGGCAAAATCGACAAAAACGGTACCTTTAGCGGCCTGTAAAAGGCGCGGAAGCGGAATTGAGCAAAAACCGATTGGTGCATCTTGTTCAGCAGAAAAAGCTCTTTCGAATGAGCTATCATTCAAAAAGTATACGATGATTTCGCGGAAATCTCTTCGATGACTTCCACAGGCTCTACCCTTACCTCTGAATTAAAAAGAAGCTTTTTGACAAATTATCTGTAATTGCTATATATTAAGGCTCATTCGAAAGAGCTTTTTCTGCTGAACAAGATGCACCAATCGGTTTTTGCTCAATTCCGCTTCCGCGCCTTTTACAGGCCGCTAAAGGTACCGTTTTTGTCGATTTTGCCAACTTTGAAGCCTCATAACTTTTTTCTCCGTTTCATTTAGCAGATTCTGATTACAGATTCGGAATCCCCGTGTTCGACTCTATCAGACCCACTTATTTTGCAAAAGAAAGGCCACCTTAAGTTCGTCCATTTCCCTTGTAAGGTTTATAAAACTTTTTGCGCCTAGAATCAAGTTAAAATTTAGCAAAAGACTAGTAAAATAAGTTAGATTACATTATTCCGAATAACCGATTGCCGTTTGAGATTTGTAGCTCGATTATTGGTTTCAAAAAGTTAAATGCAGCTATGAACTTTAACTTGACGCGAGACATCTGTTTAGTTTGGGCGCCGGCAAAGCGTGGGCCTTGGGATGGCTGTGCGAGCGTTTGCCCAAAAACTCGCCAAAGACTCGACGCAAGCCGAGGCCCTATCAGGGTCTTCCCAAGCTATGCAGGATACCATGCAGGTTGTACCCGACGGCATATCGCCGAACTCTTACTTTAGAAAGTCTTGGAAACCCTGTACAACAACGGGACAACGCCGCAGGCCTCGGTCAATGACCAAATGCTGCAAATTGGAGCCGTTCAGGGGTGCGCCGCGTACGATCAGGGTGCCTTTTTCGAAAGGAAATTTGCGACATGTGGCTACTTTACTAGACATATCTGGATTAAGAAAAAATCCCCCCTCGATAATGCCAAAGTACCTAACATGGCTAATTCAGCATACGGCCCAATTCGCGACGAAACCCTGCCCGCCATGGCCGCCCAATTCCAAAAAGATCAGGCGCTAGCCCAGTACGTTCATCAGAACACCGGATGGAACTGCTCTCTACACTCCTTGACCGTACTGGCCGACAACTTGAAGCTGATTGTGAGTATTAGCCACAATAAGCCTAAGACTAAGCCCCAGCATAAGCCAAGCGTGAACCTAAGTCTCAGCCTGAGCATAAGTATAAGCCGAAGCCTAAACCTAAGCCCAACCTAAGCCTAAAGGCTAAGCCTAGGCCTAAGCGAAACCTAAGCTAAGCCTAAGCGAATCCTAAGCCTAGTCGTAAGCCTAAGCCTTTTTTCAATAAAATCTTTTCAGTTTTAAGCTACATTTTCAGAACCTCTCCCGCTCCTCGTACCCCGACTGGATCAACAACTGTTCCCTGGCCGGCTACACGGAAGATACGCTAATCGCCAAAATTTTGACATATTGTAAGTTTTTAGCTTTAAACTTTATGGAGCTTATTACAGCCGACTACCAAGCAAAAACATGTGCAGATTACGATCCTTGTCGTCGACTGCTGGCTGGTCCGTTTTTCCAGTTTGTGAAAACCGAGCTTTACAGGTGTCTGGCTGGAGCATATCGTTGGTTTGCTGGATTCGGTGGCCGATTCCAGCGCCCCGAAAATCGTCTTGTATGCTGCTGTTCGTTTTTGAGATCTTCAGCTTTTAAGGTCAACATTTAGGAAACAGCCCCGGTCATGTCGGTCATGCGGTTGATGGGCATTCAGCAAGTGGGTTTTCAGACTTGTTCGACAAAATAAAACAGCTTGTAAATCATTTTCTAGGCATCGCTAGAAGCAGCTTCCGGTTTCATGCTCGAACTTCGCGCTCAGCCCGCCTCGGTTCGAATACTCACCCATGAGCCACTGCTCATCGACGGCCACGTCTTCAAGCAGGTTGGGTTGCACTAACAAGCTGTAAGCCGAACTGCCGCATTCAGCCAATATTTGGACTTTATCAAGCTTAGGCTTGGGCTTAGGCTC